TCTGCCTGCGGTTATGGAACCCCTACCTGTCCCAGACCTGCTGTTTTAAACTCTTAATGATCGGCTATGAAAAGCCAACTGAGATTTATTCCTGATTATTATTTGACCATGCTTGTCACTTATTAACATTTTTGAACATCTTGGCATGGTTCTGTTATAATCTCCACCCGGCACAGCCAGAAGAGGACTGGCCACCCCTCATAGCCTGGTTCCTCTCTAGGTTTCTTCCTAGGTTTTGCCTTTCTAGGGAGTTTTTCCTAGCCACCGTGCTTCTACACCTGCATTACTAGCTGTTTGGGGTTTTAGGCTGGGTTTCTGTACAGCACTTCGAGATATTAGCTGATGTAAGAAGGGCTATATAAAATAAAATTGATTGAAATTGATTGATAGAGTTACTGTTGTGTATAAAGTTGAATAAAACAGTAACACAAGTTTAATCGTTAAAACATGTACTAATTGTTGTAGAATTTGACCAGTTAATATAAGGGTTTTAAGTTATTTCAAAGTCTCTTCCTGGAAATGTAAACCAAAACATCAAGGACTCTTTCTTATTCTGCTTGTTATTGCTTCATTTATTTATTCAAGTTACAACTGAAATCACAATTAGGCAAGGAAACATGTTAGGAAAAGGCTAAACACATGACATCAAATTTAGCTATTGGAGAGGATAACTGTGATTCTACCCTGACAAAATGAACATGCTTCAGATAGGATTGTAAATGGATTGTATACTAAACAAAAATACAGTATAAACGCAACATGAAACAATTTCAAAGGTTTTACTGAGTTACAGTTCATAAGGAAATCAGTCAATTGAAGTAAATTCATTAGGCCCTAATCTATGGATTTCACATGACTGGGAATACAGATATGCATCTGTTGTTCACAGATACCTAAGAAAAAAGGTAAGGGTGTGGATCAGAAAACCAGTCAGTATCTGGTGTGACCACTATTTCCCTCATGCAGCGCGACACATCTCCTTCGCTTAGAGTTGATCAGGCTGTTGATTGTGGCCTGTGGAATGTTGTCCCACTCCTCTTCAATGGCTGTGTCAAGTTGCTGGAAATTGGCAGGAACTGGAACACGCTGTCATACACATCGATCCAGAGCATCCCAAACATGCTCAATGGGTGACATATTTGGTGAGTGTGCAGGCCATGGAAGAACTGGGACATTTTCAGCCTCCAGGAATTGTGTTCAGATCCTTGCGACATGGGGCCGTGCATTATCATGCTGAAACATGAGTTGATGACGCCATACACGTGGTCTTTGGTTATGAGGCCGGTTGGACGTACTGCCAAATTCTCTAAAACGACGTTGGAGGTGGCATATGGTAGAGAAATGAACATTCAATTATCTGGCAACAGCTCTAGTGGACATTCTTGCAGTCAGCATGCCAAATGCATGCTCCCTCAAAACTTGAGACATCTGTGGCATTGTGTTGTGTGACAAAACTGCACATTTTAGAATGGCCTTTAATTGTCCCCAGCACAAGGTACATCTGTGTAATGATCTTGCTGTTTAATCAGCTTCTTGATATGCCACACCTGTCAGGTGGATGGATTATCTTGGCAAAGGAGAAATGCTCACTAACAGGGATGTAAACAAATTTGTGCACAACATTTGAGAGAAATAAGCTTTTTGTGTGTATGGAAGATTTCTGGGATCTTTTATTTCAGCTCATGAAACATGGGACCAACACTTTACATGTTGCGTTTATATTTTTATTCAGTGTATATGGATTGCATGAAATATTCCCACCATTTACCATCTTAAGTGTGTCATGTACATATAAGAACTTCCAAACGCTTCCCAAAAACAAACCTTAAGCAATTCAAAAACATTGACATTTTATTTTGGCTATTCATCTACACTTTATTGTATGGTATTTATTAAATTTTTGTAAAATGCCCTAATTTATTGCTAGACAAATAGTCTCAAAACCTGTTCAGCAATCCAAAAGGAATTCAGCCATTAAAACCATCTACTCACCTTCAAACACATGAAAGTTCCCAAATAAGTTTCACTGAGCATAATTTCCAGCAACGAATCCCTTCCAAACCCACACCCTTGGCACCACCAACAAGGTGGATGATACAGTAAAACTTATGATGAAACACAATGGAAAGTAATAACAGTCCAAAATAAATGGGGCCTGAGGGGATCCAATCTTCTCTCTCATTACATAGTAATTGTGGGGGGGAGTTATTGAGCAGCAGATGAATTCGATATCAGCGCTTGGAAAGCCTCTTCCCCTAATACTTTTGGACACTAATCAGTGGAGGCCGGTACACACATTCAGTGGCATCACTTATGGTAGGAGACACATCATCGCAATGCACCCTCCAAAATGTCTGCTCTGTCCTTGCTGCAGATTAGAACAGAATGGGAGTAATTTAGATTTGATATGTAATTTATGCACACAGAACCTACCTCAATTTGATGTTGAGTTAGAATTTGCGAGGAAAGGCAAAGTAAATTGGATTTGTTTTAAATTTAAAATAATCTAAAAAGTCTTATAATGTATAGACAATGCAGATTTGATGAAAAGTTGAATGTATTCATTAAATGGAGTAATGTGTGGGATCTGACCAGGGTGCATCAGTCTCTGTACAGTATAAGAATGAAAATTAGCGTAATCAATTAGACTGCCTTTAGAACATCAGTCAGACTATTATCTTGGATATGTTTTAAAATATAAAACTATGATCTGTCTATTCTAAACTTCAGCTATGCAAATAACCTCATATGCATTTCCATCAGGGTTGAATGAGATACAGTATGTTGATATATTCATGTGATTCATAACCCAAATCAACATGCATATGCATCATCCTATGGGGATGGATGACTTGGTTGAAACTACACTATATCTACAAAAGTATGTGGATACCCCTTCAAATTAGTGGATTCGGCTATTTCAGCCACACCCGTTGCTGACAGGTGTATAAAATCGAGCACACAGCCATGCAATCTCCACAGACAAACGTTGGCAGTAGAATGGCCTTACTGAAGAGCTCAGTGACTTTCAACGTGGCACCGTCATAGGATGCTACCTTTCCAACAAGTCAGTTCATCAAATTTCTGCCCTGCTAGAGCTGCCCCAGTCAACTGTAAGTGCTGTTATTGTGAAGTGGAAATGTCTAGGAGCAACAACGGCTCAGTCGCGAAGTGGTAGGCCACACATGCTCACAGAACGGGAGCGCTGAGTGCTGCAGTGCGTAGCGCGTAAAAATGGTCTGTCCTCGGTTGCAACAGTCACTACCGAGTTCCAATCTGGAAGCAACGTCAGCACAATAATTGTTCATCAGGAGCTTCACGAAATGGGTTTCCATAGCCGAGCAACCGCACACAAGCCTAAGATCACCATGCCAAGCGTCGGCTGGAGTGTTGTAAAGCTCGCCGCCAATGGACTCTGGAGCAGTGGAAACGCGTTCTCTGGAGTGATGAATCACGCTTCACCGTCTGGCAGTCCGACGGACGAATATGGGTTTGGCGGATGCCAGAAGAACGCTACCTGCCCCAATGCATAGTGCCAACTGTAAAGTTTGGTGGAAGAGGAATAATGGTCTGGGGCTTTTTCATGGTTCGGGCTAGGCCCTTTAGTTCCAAGGGAAATCTTAATTCTACAGCATACAATTACATTCTAGACGATTCTGTGCTTCCAACTTTGTGGCAACAGTTTGGGGAAGACCCTTTCCTGTTTCAGCATTACAATGCCCCCGTGCACAAAGCGAGGTCCACACAGAAATGGTTTGTCGAGATTGGTGTGGAAGAACTTGACTGGCCTGCACAGAGTCCTGACCTCAACCCCATCGAACACCTTTGGGATGAATTGGGACGCCGACTGCGAGCCAGGCCTCATTGTCCAACATTAGTGCCCGACCTCACTAATGCTCTTGTGGCTGAATGGAAGCAAGCCCTCGCGGCAATGTTCCAACATCTAGTGGAAAGCCTTCCCAGAAGAGTGGAGGCTGTTATAGCAGCAATGGGGGACCAACTCCATATTAATGCCGATGATTTTGGAATGAGATGTTCAACGAGGTGTCCACATACTTTTGGTAATGTAGTGTATATCACTTGCTCCCTAGTTGTAGTGTTTTGAAGAGGCCAAGCCAGAATGAAATGTAGGCTGTAGACACTGAAATTATACCTACACTGTCATCTGCAAATACCATTTGAGAAAGGGGGAAGATATATTTTATAAATATGAATTCCTTATAAAGACACTCATGCACGCGCACACACACACACACACACACACACACACACACACACACACACACACACTAATGATATGGCTTCAAATGTTGAAATCAAGGCAGTGAAATAATCTGTTTAGTAATTTTTCAGTAATATATTATTAATCCCATTTATACAATGCAACATTTTGTTTAAACCCAACTGGTCAAAAAAAACAAAAATCTTGTTTGAGCCTTTGAATGCATCAATTTAAGACGTGGTTTCAAAAAAACATTTTCTTTCTGAAACAATATTACAGTGACATGAGTAGAACTTTTGTTAAAACCAGTCCGTAGAGAAAAGAGGAAATCCCAGAACAACTTCTGCAAAGCGTTGACGTCATCATTGTCATCTGAAGCAGGTCCCTGATTTTCTTCTTGTCCCTGACAGTTTGTATTGTTTGACTATATAGATAGTGGTTGAGAGATGCGTGTTATTTATGTTGAATATGGTTACAGTAAAGAGAGTAAATAAAGGAGAGATGTGGGGAGAAGGTGCTACCACTACGTACGGTCGGTATCTACTGTCTATGTCTGTGGGTGGAGTAGAAACATCCCACCTCTGATAACTATATTGTTAGTCATACATTGTCTTTCAGCTCCGGTCTCCCACTCCCTCTCCCAGTCACACATCATACATTCTTATAGTCATATTCAGCCCCGTGTGACAGGGAGAGGGGAGATTATAGGGTAGAAGGACAAAACCTTCCACAGTTCCCCCAACCAAAAAGCCCTGGCTCTACAGAAATCGAATCAAGGTCACAAATTTGAAGATAGCCTCGATCTGACATGGTCTGTCTCAGGGTGGCTGGCTTTGGAGTCCTTTTTGGGTAATCCCATGTCCGGCGGGGCTGGCGCCAAGCCTGCTCCCATGTCCACTCCCATGCCTGTCCCCAGCGATGTCAGTGTCCCTGGGAGGGAGGCTAGAGGAAACGCCCCGACAGACATCTGGTGGGGCAGCACCATCCTATGAGTCACAGCGCTCCTGACCCCTGCAGGGCCCGAGGGGGTCTGTGGTGGCCCAATGGATGTTGAGGAAACACGGTTGGACTGTGGTGGGCTCGGGGCCACGGGTTGAGCCCCTCCCTGGGGCAGGGAGGGCTGAGAGGCAGAAAGTGCCCTGGTGTCCTGACTCAGACTACCCATGTGCAGAGAGCGGGAGCTGTTATGGGTGTTGGGCCTGTATGGGGGGCTGGGCATGATCTGCTGGACCAGGGAGAGCTGGGAGCCAGAAGAGGGGCCGTACTGGAATGTCCGTCCCCCAGCAGCTAGGGGACTCTGGATGGGGGGGCTGGAGAGGGCCGAGGCGAAGGCACCACCGGCGTGTAGCTGGGGCTGCATGGTCTGCTGAGTCTGGGGAGGAGGGGAGGCCGACAAGCTCTGCATCACCTGGAACCTCCGCACCATCCGGGGGGACTGCAGGGCCCCGGCCCCTACCAGAGGGCCTGCCATGGGGGGACAGAAGCTCATGGCCACAGCCTGCTGGAGGGTGGCGATGGCTGAGCTCTGGGGTGGGGCTGGAGGAGCAAAGATGCCCCCGTGCGTGGGGGGGTTGGACATGGACATGGCACGAGGCCTCTGCAGGTCCACCTGCTGCACCATCTCACGGTCATATTTCACAATCTCCTGTATAATTTCATTCTCTCGGTTGTTGAAGACACCCGAGTTGAGGTCATGCTGAACCTTGTGCATTAGGATTGAGTTCTTCTTCCCTGAGGACGGAAAATAGAAGAGGAGAGGAGAGATGAGACTCTGTTACCTGAGCAGACACTGTTCCACTGTAGAATCAGCACAATCAATACATTATACAAAGTAATAAACAGCCAAATGGTCCATTGAATACTCCTGATAATGCCCTACAGTAATCGCATTCTCCCTCCTGATTAGTTGGTATTAGAGAAGTTGCTGGCATAGCAGAACAGAGTATGGGGCAGCTGGAAGGAGTTAACCTGATCAGGACAGACGTACAGTATTCATATCTCCTTTCAGTCTGCCTATCTAGAGGTTGTCTGTAATGGCAAAGGTGCATAAAAATGGAGGAATTCAGATATGACGCCATTGTTTTAGCACTATCCACATACTTTTTAATCTACGCGCGCGACATGGTTCAATGTGCCTATAGTGTAAATCGGCACAATCTACAAAAAATTAAAATAAGAAATGCCGCCGTCTTGGAGCTAAAATTGGAATCATGTATCCTGTGCTAATGCCAATACAAAAAAGAGTAACGGCGAGCACTGTACAATACAGCAAACTTAGCAAATTAGGCATTTGTGGTAAGTACATGGGGGCAGCCATCTTTATGCACCTTCGCTATTGAATTCACAGACGGTAATTTTGCACTGAGAAGGGAAGAGACGCTCGAGCCTCCGTATGTGTCAGTGAGTTCACTGTGGATGTTTTAACTTGTTTGTGTTGTGTGTGTGCCTCTACAGTATGTACTGGAGCTGAGTGATATGGACAAAACGTCATATTGTGATCAATTGAATTCTTGACCCATTTTGCTCGATAACAATAAATATATATATATTTTTTTTGTTGTTGATCTAATTAATGTCCAACAAAAACTTTCCATTGGTAGGCCTATATAGGCACTTGAATTCACCACAAATGGTGCGCTCTGTTCCGCCAAGCATTACCTCAATTACATACTCTGTTTGTAAAGTGGTGGTATTTTCTCAATATTGAGTGTTGAGAAATATTTTGTATACATTCAGAAAGCCGAGACTCCACTCTCTTTAACAACAGTAACATTAGGCAAACAGTGTTTTTCCTGCAATTACATTTTAAAATGTTGGTCATATGCTCCCTTCACTCCGTGCACAAGGTGGGGGGAGGGATTGAGAGCGGGCAGCGAAACAGGGACGGAGGGGCAGATACTTTCATTGCAGGAAGCAGGTTAATACACATTACAGTTGACCAAATAATGGTTTGAATAGAACCCCCAAAAACATTGTGTAGCCTAATCACCAGTTTACGGACGTAAGCCAAATGCTTGTGTGCGGGCAATGTCGGTGTCTGCAATTTTCGGTTAATCATCCCAGCTCTAGCATGCACCACCTGAATTGTAAACACAAAGGCCCTATGACCTTTCTGTCACGGTATGTTCAGTCTGACCCCTCACACACCTGGGGTGAGGATGGGTGGCCTGTGTTTTTTCAGACGTGAGGTGGAGCAACATGTGCCTGTGGCATGTGCATGTGTGTAGTGGCTGTGTGGGCCTGAGTTGGTGGTGGTGCTGGGGGAGAAATCTATTTGCAGCTGAAATTGCCTCCTTCACGGAGTTCACGCAGGCAGCCAGTGAGATTGCAGATCCATCTCTCTCGTCTCCCCAGCGTTTACATTTTTTCCAGTTGAACACGCATTAAAAAACTCCCAAGATTATTACTTCCACCCCCCATCTCATGTTTCGGAGTTTCATCTTTACTTTCTGTTTTTCCCCCATCAGCAGGGGATTTTCAACTTTTCCGTCTCTATCTGGCTTTTTTTTAAAAACAAATAGAGTGACACCCACATGAAAACATCAGGTAGAATGTAAACATGAGTCTGAGGGACTGGGAGAAGAACTCTAACTCTAATTCAAGCTGCAGAACTAGCTAGCATGGTACAACACAGTCCAGTTGACTGCAGAGTGGGTGGCTGCTATAGGCTCCAGGCCAAAAGGGCCAAGTCCATTATGTTTCCTTAGGGTCAGGATAGAGGTCAATGAGTCTAGTCTACTGTCTCTTCCATAGACATCTAAAGGCACCAGAACACATTAGTACACACACTGATCAGCTAAACAGAAGGATCATAGTCTCCTGTCCTGACATTGTGTAAGCTACAAGACATTATAAACATGATTTCTTTGGAAAAAGACTGTGTTCCAAAAGAACTCCAAGGTTAACAGATAATTGTCATCCTCTGAATTACTGTTTAGATTTGGAATTAATTAGCTTTCTACCCGCCAGTTACTTTTTAGTCTGGCCACTTAAAATACTAAGCCTTTGATCCAGGACGCTTCTGTTGTCAGTCAATCTAGTGAATAGCTAAACAGTATACGAATTAACCCATTCAGCTCCTTTTAACATATTTAGTACAATATCAAAACGCGCCACAAATCAAATTCTGTTTGGTATAAATGCAAAACAGTTGATGTCATCATAGTTAGAACAAGTGTCTAAACAGACCACATTGTCATTATCTATCATACTTCCATGCAAAGAGCATGTGTTCCTAATGTTTTTTACACTCAGTGTATATTGGTCCAGGCAATATAGTGTATATAAAATGACTCACTCTCCAGTCTTCATTGACTTGCATTGGATGTCCTTATACTGCATGTACTCTAGGGGTGTGTGTGTGAAAGAGAGTGTGTGGGGATGTCTTTGGATAGGGTGTTCTGAAGGTGTTCCTAATGCGTGGTATACTCAGTGTATATATTGTTCCGGACAATCTATGTACCAACATTTATTAAGATCTGATCATTTGAACATGTATTCATTCACATGACTTGATTCATAAAATGCGTAAAAACAGTAACCTGGAGACAAAATATAGTGCAATATCAAAAAGGCAAATGCTTTGGCCGATTACAAAAATGTCTTCAGATACGTCCATCAGTAAGCTCAGAGAACAAGTGCACAAAAGGAAATTGGACATTTCCGTTACGGACATGAATGGGTTAAACAGAATATTCATCTTCCAGTGTTCCCATATGCTCTATTCAGGTTAGGTGTTCATCTGTTGTCAAAGATCAAAGACAACTCAATCTCCTCCAAATGTGTGAAACCAAACGTCTCGTACTTGATGTGGAATCTGGCTGCTATGGCAACCACTGGCAGGTGGTGGATGCAGGGCCCCTGCACGTCACCGAGCGGTGACATCAGCATCACATTGACCTTGGAGGCGGTGGGGGGTTTAGTCAATTTAGTTTAGTAAATTATATGTTTACACTCAGAGCTCGGAATTCACTAACCAGGTGCTTTCTGATGATAGCTGAGTGACTGACAGCGTAGCAACACTGGAGGTAACGGAGAAACCAAGAGAAAATACGGTAACTTCCTCCCTTCCACACAGAAGAGGAGAGCATAGCGAGCTGTTTAGACAGTGTGCTGAGCAGTCATTTTCACAAATGAGCATCACTCCTCCTGAGAGCACATTTACAGCAAACCCAGGGGAGTATGGCACACTCAGTCATTTTGAAATAATAATCATATCTTGTGAAAGTCATATCCTGAAGATACAGCAGCTGCATCTAAATAAAGGGTCTAAAATGAAATCAAAGAAACCAGGGAAGTCAAATAGAAATTATTAATGGCATAATTACAATAGGTTCCATTGATAGAATACAGTATGTCTGTTTTTGTTCTGCTGATTCTATGAATGACAAAATGCCTCAACTATGCCCATAGCTAATCCTGTGTGGGTCAGTGGCTTATTTACTGGTCAGTGGTAGGCTGGTCTCACCTATCCGGTCCAGTCGGTCGATGGCCACGGTCTCGAAGGCGCGCCTCATCATGGGGTACTCCTCCAGCACCTCATTGAAGTTATCCACAGACAGGGAGTAGAGACGGCAGTACGTGTCCGCCCGCACACTGGCCGTCCGTCTGCCTCGGGTCAATAGACAGATCTCTGAGGGAGAGAGAGAGAGAGAAAGACAGGAGGGTCAGAAACGGTCAGAGACAGACACAATTACTACTCAGCTAACTAAGCTACAGAAAACATGTCAAAGAAACATGAGCCATTCGAATGTCATGATCCCATGACAAAGGTCCCTTAGACATGTCACACTCATTATTCTTCTGATTTCTAGCTTATAAAACACTGCTACACTAGAATTCAAAGCACACACAATCCTACAGTATCAATTTATCACATGTGGAAATGGGTCATTTACTGAGACGATAAAGAGCATGAATATAGAGAGAGGAGAAAGGCATTTCAACCAAAGACCCAGCCGAGACAGCTCAGCGTAGGGAGGGAGCTCCAGGGTTGGAGACGTGGTAGGGCCAAGGTTCATTACATTCAGGTGTTACCCTTCAGTCTCTGGCCTGTGGCTGATGGTTGTCTTGACAACCATATGCTCTTTTTACTCTGCTGCCTCCCCGTTCTCCCCCTTCGCTCTCTGTCGCGTGTGAAGGGTATCCTCTGGCTCTCAGTGAAGAAAAAACCCACTGGAATGTAATTTACTGTATGCATGGGGGCGCTGCTCTGGCTGCATTCTACATATCAGCCTCTACAGTGGTAGGCAACCCCCCCCCCCCCCCCCCCGGGGACCATGGAAAAAGAGGAATTAACAAGAAGTGCAGTCAAGTAAAAGATCAGCTGCCGCCGGCTGAACAGAGGCCCACACACCATTAAAGAGCAACAAAGGGATGTTCCATTCATGAGTTATACATTTACATAATAATCTTGTCATTAAGCCCCAGTGACAAACACTCTCCACCCCTGCTCCCCCTCACAATGGCTCCTTATTCACAGGGTATTAAAGTGTGACCTTGAGTGTCAACGTGGCCCTGTGTCTCTCCACTATCTGATGTGGGATTTACAGTTCTTCACAAGATTAATGAGATTCCGTTCTCTCCAGTGTGCCGAGCGCTGCAGAGGCAAGCAGCAGAACACAGTGCTGGGATGTGATTCTGACCCTACTACACCCTCTTACTCACTCCGGTATTTCCCCCTTTAAAAACAAATTATGGCAAATATGGGCCATGTTGTGTAGAGATGGTGTATAAATCCCTTATGCCGACATTTAATTTATTATCTTAGGGCAACTATTACAGTACATAGTTTCTACCTTCTTTCCATATTCCCTCATCATACTACAACAACAGGACAAAAATACAGTATCTTCTCCAGTAATAATATTAATTGTAAATAATAGCAGATGAATCAATAAATACCACCACAAATCCAACAGACATTCTGATTAAAGTTTGCGCCTAGTCCATGCCATGTAGAAAAGGGTTGGCTTCCTGGTGGCATACAGCATAAAGGCTCGCCTTTGAACATTGACGGTTGACATTACTAATTGCTCTGTCATCAGTGTTCCATGGACTAATTAGCTGTTATTAATGGGCCGTGTGTGCTGCTGTAGATCTCTGACACTCCTTCAGCATCCGCCCTTGGCTCCTGGCACCTCACAGCCCAACCCACAGCACCACTAAACTGAACTCTTCTCTTCTGAAGAGGAGCCGGATGTGAAGAATGCCCCCAGACCATGGCCCAGAGACACTGGAAAAATGAGTGCTTTTTTTGTCGATCAACAGCAGCGCTGTGTCCCAAAACAGGCAGGGAGGAGGACAAGCTGCATGGGAAAGTGGGACAAAACTGGCTGCGGGGCTAAAAGACTAGCGAGAAGAAGTCAAATGTCAGGGTGTTTTTATTTTATTATCTTGCCTGCTACAATTTTTATATAAACATGGTTACGACGTTGGTTAGTTGGACCGTAGGATTTAGAGCAGGGTTCCCCAACTGGGAGCCCTCGGGCCGAATTAGGCCCGCAGGTGGATTTATGTTGGACATAAAGACTGTAAAAACACCAGGAAATCAGCTCCAAGTAATTTTAATTTAGGAAAACTGTTCCCAAGTATTCCTTGCATAATAGATCGTATACAAATGTTTTATCTGTTTGGGCTTCTTGCGGTCAATGTTGCAGTCTACAAATTATTCGTAATTACGTTCAGGCCCCCCGACCATCCGCTCAAGAATAAAATCAGCCTGCGGCTGAATCTAGTTGATGATCCCTGATTTAGAGGGAGAAAAGTCTACATGAATTAAGTTAAGTCTACATGAATGTACTGTACCTTATGTAACTTCTGTCCTATAGTAGATGTGTGTTATCAGCACCACGATAGAATAGAATAGAATTGAATAGAATGAAATAGAACAGAAAATAGTTTATATAATATGTTTTTCAGCAGCAGTAGCCAGCAAACATAAAAAAGGTCTGATATTGTTGAGCATACCTCCAAAGTAGGATCCATCAGAAAGCTTCACGCCCATGGTTCCTTTGGTCAGCACGCTGGTCACACCGTGTTGGATGAAGTACATCTTCTTGCCGATGGTGCCCTCCCTGATGATGTAATCACCGGGCTGGAAGACCTCGAAGCGGAGCTTAGTCAACATGGCTGTCACAAAGTTGGGGTCGGCATTGGCAAACAGGGGCATGGATGCCACCAGCTTACGGCAGTTGAAGTTTACAATTTCCTGAGGGAAAATACAATTAATGTAACTGAATTTGAATTGTTACGTCTAAGACTAACATACACTACATATACAAAAGTATGTGGACACCCCTTCAAATTAGTGGATTAGGCTATTTCAGCCACACTCGTTGCTGACAGGTCTATAAAATCGAGCACACAGCCATCCAATCTTCATAGACAAACATTGGCAGTAGAATGGCCTTACGGAAGAGCTCAGTGACTTTCAACGTGGCACCGTCATAGGATGGCACCTATCCAACAAGTCAGTTTGTAAAATTTCTGCCCTGCTAGAGCTGCCCCGGTAAACTATAAGTGTTGTTATTCTGAAGTGGAAACATCTAGGCGCAACAACAGCTCAGCCGCGAAGTGGTAGGCCACAAAAGCTCACAGAACGAGACCGCCGAGTGCTGACGCTCTCCAAAACCGTCTGTCCTTGGTTGCAACATTCACTACTGAGTTCCAAACTGCCTCTGGAAGCAACGTCAGCACAAGAACTGTTCGTCGGGAGCTTCATGAAATGGGTTTCCATGGCCGAGCAGCCGCACACAGGCCTAAGATCACCATGCGCAATAAAACATTGCGCACATGCATATTGACGCCACACATACACACTTTCACACTTCACATACGCTCCTGCTGCTCTGTTTATTATATTTACTGATTGCCTAGTCACTTTTACCCCTACCACATGTACAGTACCAGTCAAAAGTTTGGACACACCTACTCATTCTACTATGAAATAACACATATGGAATCATGTAGTAACCGAAAAAGTGTTTAACAAATCAAAATATATTTTATATTTGAGATTCTTCAAAGTAGCCACCCTTCCAGGTGAAGCTGGTTGAAAGAATGCCAAGAGTGTGCAAAGCTGTCATCAAGGCAAAGGGTGGCAAGATGGCTCCGACAGATAGGGCAGCTCTGCTTCTAGCTCCTAAGCAACTTCGCAGTATTTTGTTTTTTTTGTGTGTTATTTCTTACATTATTAGGCCAGAATTCTTTTTGTGTTATTACATAGAGCCGGAAATAACTTTTGGATATCAGAGCGGCGGTAACTCACCAGCATTACGACCAGGAATACGACTTTCCCGAAATGGATCCTTTGTTTGTACCCACAGGGCAATTGAACTGATTCCAGAGGCTGATCCAAAGCACCGCTGGCGGAGAAGAGGTATCCGGAGTGGACTTCTAGTCCGACTCAGGAGGCGCACACACCATCTACCGCTTCCGAGTATATTACTCGCAAATGTTCATTCTCTGGATAATAAAGTAGACGAGTTTAGGGAGAGAATCTCCTTCCAAAGAGACATCAGGGATTGTAACATACTCTATTTCACGGAAACATGGCTCTCTCGGGATATACTGTCCCCGTCCATACAGCCAGCTGGGTTCTCAGTACATCGCGCAGATAGGAATAAAGAACTCTCCAGGAAGAAGAAAGGCGGGGTGTTTGTTTCATGATTAACTACTCGTGATGTGATTGTGATAACATACAGAAACTCAAGTCCTTTTGTTCACCCGACCTAGAATACCTCACAATCAAATGCCAACCGTATTTCCTCCCAAGAGAAGTCTCTTCGGTTATCCTCACAGCCATGTATATTCCCCCTCAAGCCGATACTACAACGGCCCTCAAAGAACTACACTGGACTTTATGCAAACTGGAAACCACATATCCTGAGGGCGCATTTATTGTAGCTGGGGATTTTAACAAAGCAAATTTGAGGAAAACGCTACCAAAGTTCTACCAACACATTGACTGTAGCACTCGCTCTGAGAAAACATTAGACCACTGCTACTCAGCTTTTCGAAATGCCTACAAGGCCCTCCCTTCTGCAAATCTGATCAGGACTCCATTTTGCTCCTCCCTTCCTATAGGCAGAAACTCAAAACAGGAAGTACCCGTGCTAAGGACTATTCAATGCTGGTCTGACCAATCGGAATCCATGCTCCCTGCCTGTGCCATTAAACCCCTACAACTCATCCAGAATGCCGCAGCCCGTCTGGTGTTCAACCTTCCCAAGTTCTCTCACGTCACCCCCCTCCTCCGCACACTCCACTGGCTTCCAGTTGAAGCTCGCATCTGTTACAAGACCATGGTGCTTGCCTATGGAGCTGTGAGGGGAACGGCACCTCCGTACCTTCAGGCTCTGATCAGTCCCTACACCCAAACGAGGGCATTGCGTTCATCCACCTCTGGCCTGCTGGCTCCCCTTCCTCTGCGGAAGCATAGTTCCCGCTCAGCCCAGTCAAAACTGTTCGCTGCTCTGGCACCCCAATGGTGGAACAAGCTCCCTCACGACGCCAGGACAGCGGAGTCACTCACCACCTTCCGGAGACATTTGAAACCCCACCTCTTTAAGGAATACCTGGGATAGGATAAAGTCATCCTTCTACCCCTCCCTTACCCCAACCCCCCCCCAAAAAATAACCCCAAACAAAACAACAACAAAAAACACATTGTAAAGTGGTTATCCCACTGGCTATAAGGTGAATGCACCAATTTGTAAGTCGCTCTGGATAAGAGCGTCTGCTAAATGACGTAAATGTAAATGTAAATGTAAATGTAAGATTGTTTTGATCACGTGGACTGGGATATGTTCCGGGTAGCCTCAGAGAATAACAACGACGAATACACAGATACGGTGACTGAGTTCATCAGGAAGTGTATAGGAGATGTTGTACCCACTGTGACTATTAAAACCTTCCCAAACCAGAAACCGTGGATAGATGGCAGCATTCACGCAAAACTGAAAACGCAAACCACCGCATTTAACCATGGCAAGGTGACTGGGAATATGGCTGAACACAAACAGTGTAGTTATTCCCTCCGTAAGGCAATCAAACAGTAAAAATGCCAGTTGAGAGACAATGTGGAGTTGCAATTCAACGGCTCAGACACAAGACGTATGTGGCAGGGTCTACAGACAATCACGGACTACAAAGGGAAAACCAGCCACGTCGCGGACACCGGCGTCTTCCTTCCAGACAAGCTAAACACCTTCTTCGCCCACTTTGAGGATAACACAGTGCCACCGACGCGGCCCGCTACCAAGGGCTGTTGGCTTTCCTTCTCGGTGGCCGACGTGAGTAAGACATTTAATAATGTTAACCCTAGCAAGGCTGCCGGCCCAGACGGCATACCTAGCCGCGTCCTCAGAGCATGCGCACACCAGCTGGCTGGAGTGTTTACGGACATATTCAATCTCTCCCTATCCCAGTCTGCTGTCCCCACTTGCTTCAAGATGTCCACCATTGTTCCTGTTCCCAAGAAAGCAAAGGTAACTGAACTAAATGACTATCGCCCCGTAGCACTCACTTCTGTCATCATGAAGTGCTTTGAGATGCTAGTTAAGGATCATATCACCTCTACCTTACCTGGCACCCTAGACCCACTTAAATTTGCTTACCGCCCCAATAGATCCACAGACAATGCAATCGCCATCGCACTGCACACTGCCCTATCCAATCTGGACAAGAGAAATACGTATGTAAGAATGCTGTTCATCGACAATAGCTCAGCATTCAACACCATAGTACCCTCCAAGCTCATCATTAAGCTCGGGGCCCTGGGTCTGAACCCCGCCCTATGCAACTGGGTCCTGGACTTCCTGATGGGCGGCCCCCAGGTGGTGAAGGTAGGAAACAACACCTCCACTTCGCTGATCCTCAACACAGGGGCCCCACAAGGGTGCGTGCTCAGCCCCCTCCTGTACTCCCTGTTCACCCATGACTGCGTGGCCACGCACACCTCCAACTCAAATCATCAAATTTGCAGACAACACAACAATAGTAGGCCTGATTACCAACAATGACGAGACAGCCTACAGGGAGGAGGTGAGGGCCCTGGGAGTGTGGTGCCAGGAAAATGACCTCTCACTCAACGTCAACAAAACAAAGGAGCTGATTGTGGACTTCAGGAAACAGCAGAGGGAGCACGCCCCTATCCACATCGACGGGACCGCAGTGGAGAAGGTGGAAAGCTTCCAGTTCCTTGGCGTACACATCACTGATGATCTGAAATGGTCCACCCACACAGACAGTGTGGTGAAGAAGGCGCAACAGGCTGAATAAATTTGCCTTGGCACCTAAAACCCTCACAAACTTTTACAGATGCACAATTGAGAGCATCCTGTCGGGCTGTATCACCACCTGGTACGGCAACAGCACCACCCGCAACCGCAGGGCTCTCCAGAGGGTGGTGCGGTCTGCTCAACGCATCACCAGGGGCAAACTACCCGCCCTCCAAGACACCTGCAGCACCCGATGTCACAGGAAGGCCAAAAAGATAATCAAGGACAACAACCACCTGAGCCACTGCCTGTTCACCCCCGCTATAGTCCAGAAGGCGAGGTCAGTACAGGTGCATCAAAGCTGGGACAGAGAGACTGAAAAACAGCTTCTATCTCAAGGCCATCAGACTGTTAAATAGCCATCACTAGGCGGCTTCCACCCGGTTACGTAACCCTGCAACTTAGAGGCTGCGGCCCTATTACATAGACTTGAAATCACTGGCCACTTTAATAATGGAACACTAGTCACTTTAATAATGTTTACATATTTTTGCTTTACTCATCTCATATGTCTATACTGTATTCTATTCTGCTGTATTTTAGTCTATGCCACTCCAATATTGCTCATCCTCATATTTATATATTTCTTAATTCCATTCGTTTACTTTTAGATTTGTGTGTATTGTGTGTATTGTTGTGAATTGTTAAGATATTACTGCACTGTTGGAGCTAGAAACACAAGCATTTCGCTACACCCGTAATAACATCTGCTAAACATGTGTATGTGACCGATAACATTTGATTTGATTTGGCTACTTTGAAGAATCTAAAATCTAAAATATATTTTCATTTGTTTAACACTTTTTTTTAGTTACTACATGATTCCATATGTGTTTTTTCATAGTGTTGATGTTTTCACTATTATTCTACAATGTAGAAAATAGTAAAAATAAAGAAATCCCCTTGAATGAGTAGGTGTGTCTAAACTTTTGACTGGTACCCTGCACATTGACTCGGTACTGGTACTCCTTGTATATTGCCTTGTTATTGTTTTTATTGTGTTACTATTTCCTTTTTTATTTGGCAAATATTTGTCTTACTTTTTAACTCTGCGTTGTTGGGAATGGTCTCGTAGGTGAGCATTTCACTTTAAAGTCTACACCTGTTGTATTCGGCGCATGTGACCAATAAAGTTTGATTTGATTTTGAGTGATTTAAAAGAAGAGGTTCAGAACTTCAGAAGTTTGCCATCTTAATGGGCATATTTGTGAATACAATTTTTTTGTGTTCCTTTGTTCCTTTCTTTAAGTGTAAGACCTTGTCAGGGTTTTGATGGTGTGTTTGGTTGTTTTACCTCCCGCAGTGGTTCATTAAGCTCCTCCAGGATGCTCTCCTCATCAAACATCTTGCCCTGGTATCTGTGTTCGTAGTAGTCATGGATTTTCTGTCGGAAGTCAGCCGGCAGTTTGTGGAAAGACATGTACTGCTCCACTTGCTTGTACTAGAGAACAAGAAATAAAGGGAGAGGGAAAGCGAAAGAAAGAGTGAAGAAACAAGAGACACTCAAATTAGTATGATATGTTATGTTTGGTTACATAAGACAGAAGTTTACTTAAGACAAAAACTAAAGGAGGGTGGTTGGTCAGGCGTATAACGTCTAGCAACCCAACGGTTGCGTTCACGGACTACTTTAGCATTTTAGCTAATTAGCCACTTTACAACTACTTACTATCTTTTAGCTACTTTGCAACTACTTAGCATGTTAGCTAACCCTTCCCCTAACCTTAACCTTAATCCTAACCATAACCCTAACCTTAACTATCCTTAAGCCCTAAACCTAACCCCTAGCCTAGCTAACGTTAGCCACCTAGCTTATTTTAGCCACCTAGCTAATGTTAACCACAACAAATTGGAATTTGTAACATATCATACGTTAGCAAATTCGTAACATATTGTACGAATTGCAATTCGTAACATATCTTGAATTGTAATTCGTAACACACCATGCGAATTGTAATTTGTAACATTTCATACGAAATGGATGATGGACATCCACAAATGAATACATACCATACAAAACGTTACATATCATACTAATTTGAGTGCCCTGGATTTTCATTTACTATGTTACGTCTACCCCTGAGTCCAGGTTGATATAAATGGAGAATGTGGAATATGCTCTATAGCAGTGTCTCCGAACTCCGGTCCTCGAGTCAACAGCACACATTTTTGTTGTAGCGCGGTCAAAAACACCTGATTCAACTTGTCAAGAGCTTGATGTTTAGTTGACAAGTAGAATCAGTGTTGTCCGGGGCCACAACAATAATATGTACGGTTGGGGGTACTCACAGACTGGAGTTAGCACCTGCTTATTAAAGGAACAGTTCGTCCCAAAATTAAAGTTTGGCAGACGTTTACATGAGTTAGTCCAAAAGTCAATATTCAACGCCATCTGTACACAGCATAAAGCTTTAAAGCGTAATTCAGAGTCCACATACACAGAGACACGGTAGTGCGGCATCCCATTGTGACATAGCTACGTGGCTCTGAGACCACCGTCTGCAGAGGACGCACAGCCCGAATGTTCAACTCCCCAAATTCCCAACCAACGCGGCTCCAAGTACACGTCCTCTATTCATTTGAATGGGGTGAAGGTTGGAGAAATTACTTGAGCAGCGCTGAGAATTCAAAAAGTATGAAAGCCAACAGTCCAATATTCTAGAACACTGCTGTGCGTATGCATACACGTTTTGGACTCTGATAGATGCTTAGACAACGTTTGACAAATATACACTACTGTTCAAAAGTTTGGGGTCACTTAGAAATGTCCTTGTTTTTGAAAGAAAAGCAATTTTTTTGTTCATTAAAATTACATCAAATTGATCAGATATACAGTGTAGACATTGTTAATGTTGTAAATGGCTATTGTAGCTGGAAATGGCTGATTTTTAAATGGAATATCTACATAGGCGTACAGAGGCCCATTATCAGCAACCATCAGTCCTGTGTTCCAATGGCACGTTGTGTTTGCTAATCCAAGTTTATCGCTGTGTACTACTCCCTTCACAGAACAGCGCAAACTGGCTTTAACCAGAATAGAAAAAGGAGTGGGAGGCCCCGGTGCACAACTGAGCAAGAGGACAAATACATTAGAGTGTCTAGTTTGAGAAACAGACGCCTCACAGGTCCTCAACTGGCAGCTTCATTAAAATAGTACCCGCAAAACACCAGTCTCAACGTCAACAGTGAAGAGGCGACTCCGGGATGCTGACCTTCTAGGCAGAGTTGCAAAGAAAAAGCCATATCTCAGACTGACCAATAAAAAGAAAATATTAAGATGGACAAAATAACACAGACACTGGACAGAGGAAGAATGGAAAAAAGTGTTTTGGACAGACAAATCGAAGTTTGAGGTGTTCAGATCACAAAGAAGAACATTTGTGAGACGCAGACCAAATGAAAAGATGCTGGAGGAGTGCTTGATGCCATCTGTCAAGCATGGTGGAGGCAATGTGATGGTCTGGGGGTGCTTTGGTGGTGGTAAAGTGGGAGATTTGTACAGGGTAAAAGGGATCTTGAAGAAGGAAGGCTATCACTCCATTTTGCAACACCATGCCATACCATCTGGACGGCGCTTGATTGGAGCCAATTTCCTCCTACAACAGCTCCAAACTATGCAAGAACTATTTAGGGAAGAAGCAGTCAGCTGGTATTCTGTCTATAATGGAGAGGCCAGCACCGGATCTCAACCCTATTGAGCTGTTGTGGGAGCAGCTTGACCGTATGGTACGTAAGAAGTGCCCATCAAGCCAATCCAACTTGTGGGAGGTGCTTCAGGAAGCATGGGGTGAAATCTATTCAGATTACCTCAACAAATTGACAACTAGAATGCCAAAGGTCTGCAAGGCTGTAATTACTGCAAATGGAGGATTCTTTGACGAAAGAAAAGTTTGAAGGACACAATTATTATTTCAATTAAAAATCATTATTTCTAACCTTGTCAATGACTACATTTCCTGTGCAGTTTGCTATATTTCCTACTCAAACTCATCTCATGTATGTTTTCATGGAAAACAAGGACATTTCTAAGTGACCCCAAACTTTTGAACGGTAGTGTATATTTTAACCTAACTATTCTTTCAAGGTCATGAGGATATTAACACTAGTACTCAATACATTGTGGTCGTTGTATGCATTCTCATTCAATTAAATTCACCATAAACAACATATTGCATATCCCTGAAACCATGAGCTAAACATATGTAGTCCTATACCTCCTAGTGTACATTGAACATAAACATACAGTGCATTCGGAAAGTATTCAGACACCTTGACTTTATCCACATTTTTGTTACGTTACAGCCTTATTCTAAAATGGATTAAATAAAACAAATTCCTCAAAAATCTACAAATAATACCCCATAATGACAAAGCAAAAACAGGTTTGTATAAATTTTTTGTACGTTTATAAAAAATAAAAAACAAATACCTTATTTATATATGTATTCAGACCCTTTGCTATGAGACTCGAAATTGAGCTTGGGTGCATCCTGTTTCCATTGATCATCCTTGAGATGTTTCTACAACTTGATTGGAGTCCACCTGTGGTAAATTCAAATGATTGGACATTGTTTGGAAAGGCACACACCTGTCTATATAAGGTCCCACAGTTGACAGTGCATGTCATTGCAAAAACAAGCCATGAGGTCGAAAGAATTGTCCGTAGAGCTCTGAGACAGGATTGTGTTGAGGCACAGATCTGGGGAAAGGTACCAAAAATTGTCTGCAGCATTGAAGGTCCCCAAGAACACAGTGGCCTCCATCATTCTTAAATGGAAGAAGTTTGGAACCACCAAGCCGCTTCCTAGAGCTGGCCGCCTGGCCAAACTGAGCAATCGGGGGAGAAGGGCCTTGATCAGGGAGGTGACCAAGAACCCTATGGTCACTCTGACAGAGCTCCAGAGTTCCTCTGTGGAGATGGGAGAACCTTCCAGAAGGTCAACCATCTCTGCAGCACTCCACCAATCAGGCCTTTATGGTAGAGTGGCCAGACGGAAGCCACTCCTCAGTAAAAGGCACATGACAGCCCGCTTGGAGTTTGCCAAAAGGCACCTAAAGGACTCTCAGACCATGAGATACAAGATTCTCTGGTCTGATGAAACCTGCCTACAGTGAAGCATGGTGGTGGCAGATTCATGTGTGGATGTTTTTCAGCTGCAGGGACTGGGAGACTAGTCAGGATCGAGGGAAAGATGAAAGGCGCAAAGTACAGAGAGATACTTGATGAAAACCTGCCCCAGAGTGCACTGGACCTCAGACTGGGGCGAAGGTTCACCTTCCAACAGGAAAACGACCCTAAGCACACAGCCAAGACAACGCAGGAGTGGCTTCGGGACAAGTCTCTGAATGTCCTTGAGTGGCCCAGCCAAAGCCCGGACTTGAACCCGATCTAACATATCTGGAGAGACCTGAAAATAGCTGTGCAGCGACGCTCCCCATCCAACCTGACAGAGCTTGAGAGGATCTGCAGAGAAGAATGGGAGAAACTCCCCAAATACAGGTGAGAAGCTTGTAGCGTCATACCCAAGAAGACTCCAGGCTGTAATGACTGGCAAAGCTGCTTCAACAAAGTACTGAGTAAAGGGTATGAACATTTATGTAAATTTAATATTTCCATTTTTAATATTTAATAAATTTGCAAAAAATTCTAAAAACCTGTTTTTGCTTTGTCATTATGGGGCATTGTGTGTAGAATGATGAGGGAAAAAAACAATTTAATCCATTTTAATAAGACTGTAACATAACAAAATGTGGAAAAAGTAAAGGGGTCTGAATACTTTCCGAATGCACCTGTACATAGGGAAGACAGGGAAGACACGTTTACAGCAATCACCTGACCTATATATGCTACAGAGCTGCTGGGAGAGGGAAAACATTTAGTTGTTGAGGAAAAGTGACAGCTCCAGAAATCCCCAGAGATTTCCTACATTTACATCATTTACTGTGTCAGAGTATGTTAGATGTGTACCAGGCTCTATTTGACATATATTCAACCACAGGCCTGCTCTCAGTCAACACAAACCAATATAACACTGCCACAACTGTTTAACTGGCTACAGTAGTCATATTATTGGACATGGAACCATTCTTTGGCATGATGATGATGACTGTATTCAGTGGATTACAGGGTACATTATTAATTGGAGCAACATGCATTCCTGTACTTGGATACTATTCTAAGAGGCATAGATGTAAGTTATTTCCAGTGGAATTGATGGGTATTTGCACAGGGGTAGTTTACAATTCTGATCTGATGTTTGTAAAGTGGTGACTTGGCTGTAGTACTCTAAGTACACTCTATGCTTGTTCATAGAGAGAAGATCCCTGCTCAAATGGAATTTCAATGATTCAAACCATTTTCAGTGTTAAAATCCAGTGTTTCATTCTCTCTTTGAGGTAGCTGCCAATCAAATTGTGTCA